AACCTGCCCCACAAGAGGCAGTAGCCACACGTGAGGCTCTGAGCGAGGGCGTGGGCACGAGACGCCCCAAGGCGCACAGAAAGGCCCGAAGTTCTCCCCGCGAGCCCCCTGTGTGCTTGAGGGTGGGTGTCCTAGCTGCTGGACGGGCCTGGCAGGGTGGGGAACAGGCGAGGGCGTGGCTGACCAGGGCGTGTATTTTCAAAATACCGAACGTGTTCATTTCAAGTTTTAAGAACTGAGTTATGATCCGGCGCTGAAAGCATACAGGTTGGTGGTTTTGGGCACATTCACAGCGTTGTGGAAACATCACCATTATCTGATTTCCATCACCTCCAAAAGAAGCCCCACCCTCAGCATCACCCCCATGTGCGGGCCCCCGAGGTGGGTGGTGTGGAGGGTGGCAGGAGGGTGGGATTGGTTTAGCTCCTGGCAGGGGCACAGGGTCCTGGTGGTGCGAGGGGTGGGAGGGCGGGGCCTGGGGGGCCTGGGAGGAAGTCACCCATTTGCAGCCAGGTTGGCCGGCAGCTGCTCCTCCCGCGAGGGGCGGGGCCGCCTGTGGGCGAGGGGTGGAGGTGGGTCCCCCCTCCCCCACGTCACCGCCCGGTGGGATATCTATCCCGGCAGGCGGGCAGCACAGTGGCCCCTGAGGGCTGGAGCTGCCGGCAGGGCCTGGTCCTGGGGTCCCCGAGAGTCACGCCCAGGCCCAACGAGGTTCGGCCGTGTGCACATCCACACCCCGCACTGCTCTGGGCTGAAAGTCTGGGGACAGAGGAGACACCTCACATGCCCCCCACAGAGGCCTCATGGCCCACAGGCCCCCGACACAGACCCCACCGCACCTGAGAGCCACAGAGAGCACCCAGGGCCCTGAAGCTGGGGCAGGCCAGACAGGGGACCCCCAGATTTTACTACACAGCAGAACTTCAGCTCGTGCCAGGCACCGCGCTCGCCCATGGTCACGGGGGTTGCGTGAGCTCGGGCGGCCAGAGGAGGTGGACCTGGCCGAGGAGCCTGCTGCCAACAGTCCCAAGCAGCAGCCTGGACACGCGCCATCTTGCAAAGCTCCCCTCTGACGGGCTCAACTGGGCAGCGTCTCTCTGCGGGAGCCCCACTTGCACCTGGGGCCCTGGGGCGGAGGAGGAAGCTGGGGCCAGCACAGATCCCCGCCTCCGCAAGCAGCACATCCTCCCTGGATTTTGTTCAGAACCTGCCTGGGTCCCAGGGGCCAAGACCCTCATCTTTTCTCCAAACCATCTCAAATGGGCATGCTCCTGCTACCCAATCAAACCTTTGCTTGAAGGGGAGGCAGGGCAGCCTACAGCTCAGGGTGCTTGGGAGACAGTCACCCCTCCCTCTGCCCCAGAGGCCCCGACCGTCGAGGCGCGGGCTCAGCAGTGACCAGGAGGCAGAGTGGTCGGCTGCCAAGGCCCCACGGACGCTGGGACAGAGCTCTGCCCTGAGCAGCGTGCTCCCGGTCCAGGCCGCTTCACCATGCTTCCCTAGGCTTGTGCACAGCTTGAACAACTGTACGGGGCAGCCCCACGGGGAGACACCCGGGCGAGCCAGACCTGCCCCCAGCCGAGCCGCTCGCCAACCCCAAACACAACGCTGAGGCCAGGTGCCCCCTTCACCTGCAGCCCTCACCCGTCAGTGCCCGGCCAGTGGGCAGTGAAGAGTCACCTGAAGGCTGCTGCCCCTAACGTGTGACCCCCAATTCCCCAAACAGATCCGCCAACCACGGCCCACACAATTCTGCAACCCCAAGTCGGCCGGGCCAACCACCGAGACCCAGCACCGGGTCAGAATCCCAGCCGTGGGGCAAGTTCCAGCCTCGGTCAGCTGTCACTACAGCCCGCCTGGGGACAGCCGACAGGCGACAACGTCGGCGGCCTTCCTTTCCCAGTGGGACAGCCGCCAAAGTTTTGAAACGAGCTGTGTCTGCCAGGTTGGCGGGGCCCACCCGGGAAGCCAGCTTCTAGGCAGAAGCAGGAGGCAGGCGGCGGGCTGACCTGGCCAGCCCTGGGGCGCGGAGCCGGCCGCCGCAACCGGCCGACGGAGGAAACCCCTGTACCCTGAGCGCTCACCACGTTTGTGCAACTCGGAGAAACTGGGAGCATCTGTCTCCCCACCACCGCCCACGCCCTGGCACGGCAACCCCGCTCCTGGGGCCCCAGCAAAGCAGGCTGCCGTCCACCAAACATGCAGGCTGGCGGCCCCTACGAGAAACTCCCTCCACGTCCACCAGCAGCCGGAAGGACACAGCGGGGAGTGGGTGGAAAGCCACCAGAGCTCTCGGCCACCAAGCAGGAGGACCGACCGTGCACCCGGCCCGCACCCCGGGCCGCCCTGTGTAAACTCCGCCTGGGGGTAGAGGGAGCGAAAAGAAAGAAAACACACACACCGAGAACCCCAACAGTCAAGGGAGAGGCTGCACTGCCTGGAGAAAACGGTGGGGTCAAGGCCAGGTGGGTTCTGCTCCGAGGGGCCGGGCAGACGGGGGGAAGCTGGAGCAGACACTTCAGAGCCCCAGCCTGTGCCAGCCCCTGGGGCCTCACAGTCAGGAGGGCCCAGTGGCCACGCCACCTGAGCACAGAGACTCAGGGCCACCTCTCAGATCACCCCCCTCCAGCCTCCGAGCCCCCGCCCCACGCCATTAGCAGGTCTCCACGGATCAGCATCGTTTCTAAGCGCTGGGCAGTGAGTGAGGAAGGAGCGGAGGGCGAGAGACGGAGCCCGGGGGCCAGGTGCCCCTGCCCGCCCGGAGGCCACGGGCGATTAGCAGCCTCGTCCCTCGGGGGCGGGCCGGACGCCTCGCTCGGCAGCCAGATCGATGCCTGACCACGCAACCGCCAATTAGCGCGATCGCCCCCGACCCCGCTCTCAGGGCGGCGTGAGCCGTAGCGCACCGGCGGTACACGTGCCTGCCGCGCGCGGGTGCGGAGGGGGTGACCGCGCACAGCGCTCCGCGTCACCTCTGTCATCTGACCTCGCGGATTAGCGCCCGAGGCCCCCTGAGCCCATGTAATTAACAGCTGAGACACCAAAGTCGCTGTGAGGGGAGACGGAGAGAAGCCTTGAAACACAAGTGCAGCGTGTCAGCTCCCTAGACTCCACCCGAAAGACCCGAAGCACCCACTGGGCGCCCTAAACAACGGCCCGGGACCACCCCTGCCCGGCGCACTGCAGAGTGTGATCTCAGTGCCGCCGCACAGCCCTCCCTCTGCCCGGGCACAAGCCTGCCCTGAGTCAGGCCGCCTCACCCGGGGAGGGACGGAGAGCCGATGAGGAACAGCGGTCACCTGATGTGCTCCCTAAAGGAGGACCCCTGGGACGCCTTCCCGAGACGCCCCCTCCCGTGGCCAGAGCCGCAGCACCACAGGGCCAGCCCGGGTGCCAGCTGGAGGTGGCTGTGACAGATGCTGGAGCCAGCGCCAAGCAGCAGGGGTCCCCCCGCCCGGCTGAGCCTCGCCCAGACTTTCACTCGGTGCAGGCAGGGACCCCCACGAGCACGTGCGGATCCCCACCATAAGCACATGGAGGCGGGAAATGAGGTGGGGGACCCTCTGGACTCCCCGCAGGCCGGGCGCAGCGGGGACAGCCGGGCACACGGCACATGCAGGGCTGCGCTCAGCCTGGCTGAGGGCAATGGCTCCACCCACCTGTGGGTTCAGGGAGAACCCCCTGAAAAAGAGCCGCAGGGCTGCCCTCTGCCCGCTTCCCTTCCTGGAAGAGGCCCTCCCGGCCTGCCTGCCAGCTCCTCCATGGCGCGGGAACAGTCGGAGGCCCGTCCACGCAACGCCCTCTCAGAAGCCCTCACCCCACCTCATGCCACCAGCGAGCGGGGCACACCTGCCCCCAACGTAGCGTCACAGGACGGTCACTAAACCCCAGCCAGGGCTCCCCTGGTGGCGCAGTGGTTGAGAGTCCGCCTGCAGTTACAGGGGACGCGGGTTCGTGCCCCGGTCCGGGAGGACCCCACGTGCCGCGGAGCGGCTGGGCCCGTGAGCCGTGGCCGCTGAGCCTGCGCGTCCGGAGCCTGTGCTCCCACTGAACCTGCAAGTCTGGAGCCTGTGCTCCACAATGGAGAGGCCACAACAGTGAGAGAGGCTCACATACCACAAAAAAAAAAAAAAAAAAAAAGGGTATTAAACCCCAGCCAGCAAAGGCAAGGTGTGGTCCTTCTTACAAGACGCACTTCCAGAGGCCAATGATGTGGTGATGAGGAGGACGGGGGCTGGGAGGACGGTGGGCTTCCGCTGTGCTGAGGGGCCTGGGGGGCCGGGAGGGTGCGCGTCAAGGGACGGGAGAGGAACTGGGGGCGAGAAGGCGGAGGGGGCTTCAGGTAGGGGACAGGGAAAGTCGCTGTTGCAGCGACATGGTCTGGGGAGGCCTCTTGTCCCAGTGTCTCAGGGCCGGGCATCCCCCATCAGGGCAGGCGCAAGCCCCCCTCCCTGGGCCCCGCTCTCCTCTGAATCCCCGGCCCAGAGCACACAGAAGGAGGGCGAGGCACAAGGACGCCCCTGCACGCTCACACCTGCGCCACGAGACAGATGGGGCTGCAGACACGCCAGGAAACCCAGCCCCGCCAAGCCCTGTGGCCACACGACTTGACACACACGCGTGTCCGCTCACTTGTTTTGCTGCGTTCTTTGAAAGAGGCAGACTTCAGGTGGCAGAACAGGGGCGCCGCCCCTCCCT